GAAACAGAGAAAAACAAAAAAATACCGGAAAAAAAAAAACAAAAAAATATTTAAACTAATTCTGAAGCCATAAACAAGCTAAGCAAGGTAACATGGTACATATTTATGATTGCCTATCACCTCAGTTCAGGTACTTGTAACCTTACTTATGTAAGTTTGACTATCCTCCAAGCAGGACAAGCTGTTCGATGCAGTGTCAGCGATCAATGAGGCAGTGGTAGCTTCGGGGAGGGTGGAGGGCTGATTGTCCTAGGTAGTATTAGGGAGACCCCTTAGAGGGACCCTTCTTAACCCTACTTATGGCTCTCTTTAAAGGGTGGTCTATATCCCCAAAGGTCCCCTTAATCCTGACTCCTAGATTGGGGATGCAGACACAAACTCACGGCAGCTTGAGATCCAGCAGCTACCTCCCCGAATGAAGGCAGATCGCCTTAACTTGCAAAGTTCCCACCCCTAAAGACTCCCAAACCCCTAAACACAAACCCCTAAAGACTCCCCCCGAACCCCTAAAGACTCCCTAACAACCCGAAACCCTAAACCGTGGAAAACCCGTAGCAAACCAGGCATATCTGTAAAGCCCACGGCCAGGTCGCAAAGGACCTTCAGCGCCGCCTCCAAACGGAGGCCCTGGGCAGGGCCCTTGTTCTTTCTAGTACCATTCCCAGGGGGTGATAAGGGTTGTATCTTTTGAGTTTGTTATAGCGGTTCTAGCGTTCAACAGGGGTTCTTGCCTTCAAGAAGCCGAGGTCAGGAGGAAGAAGGACGGTGACAGCCCGACGAGAGCACCCCCACAACACCCAAAGACCGACGACCGATTATGAGCATAGGGGCATTGTGACAAATAACACTCCCAGAGGGTCCATGCATACTACACTACCATTCTGGAGTTGGGTCCCAAATAGACCATTCTTAGCGTGGCTTTGGGGACTTGATTCCATAGTAATTGTAGAAATGGGCCCTCTAGGACTGCTTGTCAAGCACGTATGTTCAAAGGCTCGTGCTACTATAGCGCGTATGCCGTCAAAGCCAGGCCCTCGTAATCCAAATGAACAGAACCGCCCACCTCTTTGAGTTTCTCGAAAGGGGGGCAGAGATCCCTGCTCCGGCCAAGGAGGAATCATACACTGTGCAGCCATACCTGGAGTAAACCGGAAACCCCTGAACTAACCCTACACCCCAGCCTTAAACCCTCCAACCGCTAGCCGTTCACCCCTGAACCCGACAATCTAGACTCCAAGTCTTTCACCCTTCGCTCCCCGTGAAGCCTGTAGATCCCTTCAACACCTTCGTAGCAACCCGGCGAAATCCACCGAACAGACCTTAACCCCTAAACCCTAAACCTTAAACCCTCCTCCGTTCGGGTTCGGGCGAGGAATGTAGCGACGGGGTTGACCTCACCGATGCGCACAACATCGCACAGAAGCTCGGTCTCGCTTTGGGTGTTTGGGGTTGGGGTTTAGGGTTTAGGGCTTGGGGTTTGGCAAGTGGGTCGCAGTTCTCAGGGCTGTTTAGGATTCTTGATCGTATTTCATGGGAGTCATACAGTGTCTTGGGGTCCAGGGGTTGGAAGCTGAAACGGCTTACAGGTAGTTGATCCATAAGTCAAAGGGTTTCTGGATCTGGTTTGTGTTGAGGCCTGCATAGCTAAGTCTTTGGGCCAAACAGGAGTCGGTGATTGGCTTGGAAGTCGTCCTGGTCATGGCATTAAGATACATTGGGCCCTTAGTATGGAGGGGGTCTGGGGTATTGACTTGGTTTGCTACGAGGGCTTCAATAAATAGCCTCTTTTAACCATTGCCTGAATGCGTCCATGAACCTTTTAGCTACGGCCCAGAACAGCCCAGCCAAGGATCATTCAGGGCGCGGGCTTCATGGCCCTTGCCATGTGGCTGCTTGGGGTGCATCTTGACCCTGCCACTTCAGGCCCCGAATGCCGTAAAAGAGACGCAGAGCTTCTGCATTCTGCATATAATCTGGTTCAAAAAGCTCTCGCGGGCATCAACCGAGATTTGCGTGATGGGCGCGGGCCGTCACCGGCTGCCCCTATTTAGATTAAGCTTGCGCTGGCCTAGCATGCTGTTATGATGTAGCAGCGTAGCAGTTCAAAGCCGCCGCGCACACACACACACACAAGCCAAGATTTCGTCATGACTCGTGAATATCAGGGGCGTCTGCAGACCTTGCCTGGCTTTGTCCGAGTGTGAGTATCAAAAATTTCGGGGGCTTAATAGTTGGTGGTATCTCACACCATAAGTACAACATTGTCGAGGGACCAGCACGGGATATTGCATGATACGGAGTTTTGTTTATTTAGCAGTATCCCTGTAGCAAGACCCGAGACTCAAGATATACACTGACCAGTATTACTAAGGATTCCTATCTAGACGCACCGAAAACCTACATATACACTCTTCTCCTTATCTTGATCCCGACCGTTTAAACTACATATGAAGCCCCTAGCAAGCCCCGACAGGGTCCTTCGATCCCTGCAAACGGCTTCATGTAATCACTTCATCATTGGACTGTTTGAGGGTTCCTTATTATAACTATAGTATAATATACCATAATCCCGATTCTAATTATTACGGCCCCTACATTGAGCACTTCTTCATTGGACTGTTTGAGGTTGATCTTCGCCAACAACTCCAAAGTGGCAGTTGCCCAGACCTTTGGCCTCAAAAGTCCGGGTCCTTTCCCGTCCTCTGCGTTGCCGAGGGAGCACCTTCACTATTGGGATCCCTGCAAAATTGTACTAAAAGATACCCCGAAGTTTTGTTCTAATTATTCAGGCAGGCCGTGACGGTTCATGTCGCTTCTGCAGAAGTGCAAGCTCAACATGTGAGACCTGGATGTCGCATTAGTTGGGCTGGGGTTTGTGTATCCCGGCTGCAGCCAGCCAGTCCCTAAGAACCCGAGACCCCGGAATTCTCGAACCCTTAGCCCTAAGCCCTAGACCCCTACACCCCACAACAGTGAACAAACCCTATAGACTGGAACCTGATACAAACCTAAGAAAGGCCCTATGAAAGGTAAATAAGCCCGATGCGCTCTCGCTCGCTCTCGCGTCTCTCTCTCTCTCTCTATCTGTCTGTCTGAATATACTCTTTCAATTGCAGGCACATACAAGTAAAGCTCTTTACACACCCTGCAAAAACTTGCAGAAATAAAAAAAACAGATGTATATTGTACACATACATGCATGTAGGGGAACTCCCATTAGCACTCAGGAGACCTTGCCCGTGACCCCTGCAGAATCCAAGGAAAGCGCCTTTAGAGCAGCGTCACGCGATCTGTGCCACGATCAGTACGGCCGTGGCCCTCTTCTCTGGCTTCTGGGACAGTACGGTTCAGGGTTTAGGGTTGGTTCCTTTTTTGGTTTAACCAATTATATATTCAGGATTGTAGAAGGTATCCCCATAAAAGGAACTACAATGGAGACTATAGGTAGGGTTTAATTTAGGTCTGGGAGCTCTGCTAGCACCAGGTGCATCTGTCAGCTAATCTCGACAGGTCCCTCTGCGGCTGATACGTGAAAGCCCTGTTTCAGTCTGGATGGTCCATGGTCGCAGGTTCCTATGATTTTGCTCTGTGGTTTGTGTGTTTGCTTTCACGTATCATTCGCAGCTTCGTCTGTGTTGAGCCTGATGCGCATTGTGCGAGTGTGTGCGTCGAAACCCCACCGATCACCGGGAGACCTTATGAGACTTGGGATCAGAAGATCTGGGACTTTCCGACAATTGGGGGTACCTTATTTTGGGGTCCTTATAATAAGAAACCTATTATTTAGGCTACTATATTAGGGTCCCCTATATTTTCGGAAACCCTCATCTTCATGATGTTGGCACCATGCGAACCCCGGTAAAGCACAGTTTTGGCCAACTAGTTCGCAACAGTCTCGCCTTACAGTCCACCGATATCTCTTATGTTACATATCGTCATACTTTGCTGACAAATCCCGATAATATATATATATATATGTATATATATATATATAAATATAATATATATATATATATATATACACAGATTCGTAGTAGTCCCAAGGTGCCCATTCCACCAAGGCTTCTTCAGCATGGATGTGTAACAAGAACACTCAACGAAGTCGCGATGTATTTTCCTAGTCTACTACACCCAAAACCCCAACTTAAGGCCCACCGTTGTTGTAGTCCTTCCCCGATACCTCTAGCCCCTAGCCCGCAACCAACGTGTTGCCCTTCGGGCCGAACCAGCCTCGCCTGCATTGCACGAGCTGCGGAGGCCAAACCCCATACCCTAAACTTTCCTAAACTCCTAAATCTTAATCCCTAAGCCCCTAAAGGCAAAGCCGTGAAACTCCTAATCCCCTGAACCCTAAACCCCGCCCCCCCTAACCCCGAAACCCCTGATAGAAGCCTAAATAATTGCCAAGATTTTTCCTCATGTTTCCTGAGCATGATTATACTAGACAGGGCCCCTAAACCCTTTTTTGATTATTAAGGCCCCTACATGAACCCCTCCCGAAAAAGGTTTCTTCAACATCTTACAGCTCACAGCCATTGACGACTTCGATCTTCCAGGCGTGGGAAATCCTGCCTTGTTTTGGCTTAGGGGTTTAGGGGTTTAGGGTTTAGGCTCTGAGTCCGCGAGAGAGAGAGAGAGAGAGGGTTTAGGGTTTAGGAAGTTTAGGGGTAGTTGCCCAGGTTAAGGGAGTGTGTTTGGCTAGACCGGGCTGCTGGACAACGAGGCCTGTTGCAAAAAGGGGTATAGGGTTTCATTGAAAGGAGGTTTGACAGGAGGGATTATGAGGGTTCGAAAGTACTAGGGTTCCTTTAAAGGGCTCCATGATAAGGGTTATTCTAGGGGTTGTCAGTAGGGCTTTTATGAGGGGTTCTAATGTAGTTGCCTCAATAATTGAAGCTGGGTTTTTGGAGTATCTTAGAATATAGTTATAACATGACGAACCCCAAGAAAAATTACGTTTCAACTGTTTCAGGCTTCTACATATTTAGGTCTTTGGCTTTGGGTTCTAGCTAGTTCAGGGTTGAATTCTATCGGGTTTAACAGGATTCTAGGCTTTAAGATTCTTCAGGTTTGAGCATTCAAGGTTCTAGCGTTACGCGGCCGTCGAGGTAGTCCCATACCATCCGTTAAACCCTAAACCCTAGACCTTCAATTAAACTACGGTAGCTGATGCATATCCTGCATTTCCCATAATAAGGAATATGCCACAATTCCCACAGTTTAGGGTCCTTAAGGTATTGCAGGATTTATATCATGAACAGTATCATATAAAAGCCCAGAAGATCTGACCATACAGTTGCAATAAACGCCCCCACAGAGGGCTTGCAGAGATCCTTCCCATCTTCGTGAAGCCTTGTAGTCATCGTTGTGTGAGGTACCACAGCCCTTAAAAACCACCCTGCTGTTAAGGCCCCTGGGTTAAGGGTTTTGAGCTTAATCTCAGGGATTTAGGTTTGAGTTTGGCGGCGCTACTTCCCAGATGTAAGAGTCTTGGAAGTGCTGCTCTGGGTTCAAACGGGTTCAGGCCCTGTCCTACTATCAAACACATTCTTACCAGGTCGCGAAAACAACTTCACGCTCAACTTGTCCAGACCGATCGAAGCTGGGCCTAAAGGAGTGCGGGTTGAAGCCTTCCGGCCTAAACCCTAAACCCTAAAAGGGTTTAGGGTTTAGGCCCGAAGCTCTTAACCCCAAACCCCCACAGGGGAGGGTTTGGGTTCAGGGATTCAGTGGCTTAGCAGTTCGGGTAGGGGTTCTGCGGTTCGGGTTTAGGGTTTAGGAAAAAAAGGGGGTTTTTGGAACAATTCGCGGGGAGTTGTCCTATTCTGAGGTTCCGTTATTGCACAGAACTAGGGACCCGTTTCTCCGGTGGCGGGCTTGGGCTGGCAGGCGCGCTTTAGGGTTTTTTGGGTTTAGGGTTTAGGGAAAAGGGTTTAGACTGCGAGGGCGACAACCGCTTCTACTGCTCCGGTCCTTGACTGGTGTTTAGCCTGCTGCTCTCTTTTCTTTCCTCCTCCTCCGCTTAGTTTCAAGTCAATACGGTTGATGATACACATCCTGCATTACCCATAATCAGGATATACCAGAATTCGCAGAGTCCAGGGTCCTTAAGGTAATGCAGGATTTTGTATCATCAACAGTACTTCCCCTACACCCGAAGGTCTGAAGCCCTTTAGCTGAGGAGTGGATTGCAACGTGCCCCATCATGCAGCTGAAGCTGGTCGTCCTTGCAGGTGGGGCAGACTGGGTTTGGGGAAGACGGGCTCTGCGCGGCTCTCTTGCGGCTCCAGCAAAGGCAGCAAAGGTTTTGGGGAGGTTTTGGGGTTGAAGTTCGGGGTTTTTCTAGGTTCCCTAGTAGTACCCTTTTGCCCTTTTTCTGTCT